ATCCGTCGGCCTTTTCGTTTTTAGACGCCGCCGAGGGAGTTCGTGTTCTTACATAGGATAGATAGGTAGACAGCCTCCCCATTTCTCCTCTCACACCAATCGACAAATTTCCTCCTCACATGTTCAGGTTCAGCTCATTCCCACATCGAAACTGCCGAAATTGGAGGTAAGGCTCATAAAAACGAATTTTGCTTTCTGCACATTCCTGGGAACCGCCAGGGCCTTGATCATCGCCTGCTGGGTTTTGTGGCTCAGCTTGGCTTTCTTTGGTGTTCTCATTAATTGGATTCACATTATTCCTCGTTCTCTTCTCGAGCGCTCCGTAAACTCGTCCATCGCCAATCTAATGGTTGCTATTGTGAGGTCGGTGTTTGTCCGACTGGGGATAGGACCGGGTCGGGTAAGCAGAATGGCCGGCCGGTTGGTCCGTGGCACCGCCACCTGGCCTTTTCATCGGCCTACTACGTAATTTTGTGCGCCATGGCCGTAACCTATGACGCTTGACAACAACACTCGTTACGCTGCGTTCGCTTTGACATTGTCACTTCCGATCGGCCGTCTACCCTAATAGGCTTTCTTGTTATTGATCATACTAGTAACGATAATGCAGTAAAGGTGATGTGCTCCTACAGTTATCACCTCTTCCTCTTCTCTCGCTCTGTTAATATTACGATAGTTGCTTTTCATCTTGTTCCTGTGTGATATACGGTTTACTAGGTAGTTAGCAGTAACTTACTCGCCCACTTTAAAAGTTACTATTTCCAGTTTACGGCGCACAATGAACCCTCGGCGTGACGCTCAACGTCGTGTCGAGAACGCATTACAATTATGGGTTCTTGAAGCAAAAGGAGTACCGGCTAAGAGAAGGTAACAGTACTGTCTATGAAAGTAATACTTTATACATTCATAAGTAGTAATTTGGTTTCAGATATTATTGTGAATTATGTTTGGATAAGACGTTATATGCTCGAACATCATCAAAACCGCTGGTGGATAACGTTTTCTGGGGAGAACACTTTGATTTCACGTCAGTTTACTGCTTAATTCTTTACTGGTAAAATATTACCTCGTAGTATGTTCCCCCTCTTGATTAACAAGTAAGTTTTCAGAATGCTGCAAAAAATGGACGAAGTTTGCATTAATTTGTATCGTGAAGGTGATCCAAAGAAGAAAAAAGAGCGCGCCACATTGATAGGATACATATTGATCGCCATCGAGCAACTCAGCAGTCGGCATCCTGTTGAACGATGGTAAGCTGTGGTGTTTTATGCTGGATTAGGTGGTATTTGGCTATCCTCTCAGCATCCTTTGAGTAAGAGCAGGTGCTAATTATCCGTGGTTTTCACTTCGGAAGCCGTTGAGGTGGTCACTTTCACGTAGGTAACCAGTAACATCTTTGAGGAGTTGTGGTAGCCATTTGGTTCCTTGTTTCAACATTCAAATCGGACTGCAGCCAGCCTTCCTACTTCCGTTGATCGGACTTCAGTGTCTCTGAAAACAGCTGTTCCATCCTTTGTTGAAAGTCGTTGACTTGACCACTTGGCTGATAGTTGCGCCTTCGTGGCGCCATCTGGCATCAATCCAACTAACTGCATATGTTCGTGGTCAACAGCTTGGTCACAGTTTTATACGATATTGTCGACCGATTGCTCATATGCCTTGAACTAGACAGGGTTCGGGTTACTCAGTAAGTACTGGATACGGTAGGGGGACCTAGTAAAGTTTTCGACAGTATTGCTGAACCGTTTGACGGAATTGTCCAAGAACTAGTCTACTGCTCTCAGTTTACCAATGAGGTCCTACTCGTCTTTTCGTGGGCGGGGTGAACACGGCTGCAGGCATGAGAATTTGATAGAATCAAGTGGAATTGTAACTTACCGTATTCTGATTTCTGTACCTTCTGAGTTCCCTTCTGGACTTCAGATTCAGTAACATTATTCATCCTTTCCCTTACCACCCAACCCTCCTCGGCCCCCATCCCACTGGGAGGAACCATCCTTTCTCTGCTTCCTTTTTCTCAGGCTTTCGATAGGTCTGGGGACTGAAAGGGTTGAGTGAACTTCGTCAACCACGAACAAAAGCCAACCATTTCATTGGTGAATCTGAGAGGGTTCTTTTGGGCACTTGAAAGTGAACCCTCCAAAGATTACTTTCTATTGATCTGTTGTTTATTTTCCTTCTTCGGTAGTCAGCCTATTCAGCAGAGACTCCTATTCTTAGGTCCTCCTTTCAGGTATCATTTTCTTCATACCCCACGAAAACACCGGGGTGTCCTTACCATATCCGGAGACCCTGGACATTCAACAATACATAAATCACCATTGAACCAGATCCATCTCTTTCTGTCTCGTTCGTTCTTCGGAATTGCTAGCTTTCTCCGCCTGCGTTCCCCATTTTAATGGCTATTGGACCTGCTCTGAATTCCCGATTCGTGTTGGACCGACTTGACCAAACGAATAAGGTGTGATTATTCACGAGCCTGATTCAGGATCTTACCTTGATGGGGGCCCGTTGATAGATACATTCATTCTGTTCGATGTCAAGCTGTCCGATAATAGGCCTTCGTGGAATTGATTGAAGCCATTTAGTTGGTCTAGGCACATCTTTCCCGATCGATCAAGTCGTTTCACCGAACTTTCTTCGATTTCACCTACTTATCTGAATACCCTCATTCGGGTAAACGGGTTAATAACCAACTTGATCTTCTCCAAAACGATGAACTGGTGGGTCGTGGGTGGTTGCCCATAGATGAGAATTCACCGTGGAACTCTTCGCTCCCTCATTTTGATATTTTTTGTTTTTGCCAATGGAAATTTTGTCACTTTTTCTCAAATTTTTTTCTCAAAGAACCTACAGTAACCTCCCCATAGCCTACTCTCATAGTTCCTTCCCCCGAATTGTCACCTCGATGTGTTAGGGGTGTCTCACCAACGGTGAGGAGCCGAACGCGGTGTGTCACAAGTTGAAGTTTGCCTGTCAAAACGTATTTGGCCGCGGTTTCCTCACAGTATCGCCCCCATCCCCTCCACCTCGACCATAACGGTCGCCCCCGCATAATGCGGGCTGTGGTGAGCCTCCCACACGTTTCAGCCTCCGCTCGATCAGCTTTCCTCGACCTCCTCTCATCTGTCATTCACCTCTCCATACTTTCACTTGACGTCTTCGTACTGTATAGTTACTTACAAGTTTTTATCGAACAATTGAATTCATGCTATAGTTGAATCTTTCGTCCGCCATTGAGCCTGTTCTGAACGTCGTGTTTACTTTCCTACAATCCGTATTCATGGTCAGTAAGCCTCTGACAACTCGGGACATTACTAAGATCACATTGTCCACCAGAGGACGACAGAGCAGGCGGCCAGTCATGTTCCCTAAGGAACCAGTGGAACTGATCGGAGTGTCAACGGTGCAAGATCTGGAACGTCTATCCTCAGTTCATACATCGCGACCTTCATTATTCAACGTAATTATGTGGACGATTCGAATAAAATCGAAATATCTAAGGGTCACCTCGATATTTGGCAATTATCGCAGGTACCATACGCTATTCCTCAGTTGTCCTTGTTTTCATTCTGATTTTAATCTTACGCGCTCACACCTCAGCAACCTCCACGACCTCAGTAGCCAGCCTGCCAAAAATTGTGGCCACTTCAAGGTCATTTTGACATGTTACAGTGACCGGCGAGGAAGCGAAAGAATAAGGGCTGGTTCGAAGGGGAAAAATGTACTTCCCTGACGTTTCTCTTCGATTACGGTAACTCTATTACGGTAGCTTAGCAGAAAAACGACTGAATGTCACAAATGCCTGAAATTTGCTATCAATCGGGAGACGGTGATGGAGGCTTCCCCTCAACCCACCTCCCCCACCTCCTACCCTCTGTTTCTGACTACCTTACTATTAACTGGTATCTACAGGTATACGGTAACGACAACAAGTGATACGGGCAATCGTCTTGCGTCCGCATTGAGCACAAAGAGCACCAATCAAGAACTACCGGCTGTACGAATCAAGGTGCGTGGCGCGACATTACGCAATAGTCAAACCAATCAATACCTATTTATTTCATTCAGGCTCGCTGGCAAAGTATCAGCATACTACCGTTGCGTGCCTATGATGATTTTCTACACTACCTCTCGTGTAATTATCTTTCATTATGTAATCATCTGGAACCAGTGCTTTCCGTTAAAGCGAAGGTATGTCTATTCCCAAGATAGGCATATTATTGATTGGTTACGGTAATGCTGGGACATATATGCTGAAGTGAGCCTTTTAGGAAGACTTAGCGACAGCGCTAGTCCGTGTACTGCACAAACAAAAGCTCGCCAACGATTTCCTCTGTGAACTAGTCATGTCAGAAGTGGATTCGCTTGGTGGGTACAAAGCATTTGGGAAACCCTAGCCGGGGCATGGTGTTCCCGTTGTCGTGTCCCAATGATTTATTCGTTTCAGATAACGATCATTTGATGTTTCGAGGAAACTCGCTAGCCACGAAAGCAATGGAAGCTTATATGAAACTGATTGCCGATGAATACTTGCAGGTGAGACGGTCGTACTTGTTAAAACAAGCAGTAGCACAAAGGAGTTACTCCAGTGGCTTGAAAAAGTAGTAAAATCTCGGAGTTATGCTTTTCAGTCGGTACTTGGCGATTTCGTACACAATGTCCTGTCATCGAACGAGACCTGTGAGGTCGACCCCCTGAAACTGAATGGTGTCTCAACTTCGACCTTGGATAAGAATAGAGCTCAGTTAACTAGACTTGTAGAATTAGCCTGGGAGAAGATTATCAACAGGTACTGGTTACTTGTAAACAAGCTTCATACTCTCCTACTTTCTTCCAACGTCCATTTTCCAGTACGTCAGCATTTCCGATGGAATTGCGCCTCGTATTTGGTTCGTTACGCGACCGATTAGAATCTCAAGGTCGAAGTTCGTTAGCCGACACTCTAATTTCTTCATCGATATTCCTCCGATACCTTTGTCCTGCTATTCTCAGTCCAAGTCTGTTCAATCTGGTTCGTTGGAACGTTCATTCTAACTATTTGGTGATGTTTCAAGCTCTCCTCGAATCTCCATTTCAGGTAACGGAATATCCAAGTGGAGTGACAGCCAGGAACTTAACACTTATCGCTAAAACTCTCCAGAATTTGGCTAATTTCACAAAATTCGGTGGAAAAGAGCATTATATGGAGTTTATGAACGGTTTTGTGGAACGAGAATGGCAACGCATGAAAGATTTCCTTCGACGAATATCCACGGGGTAATACTGATTCCTTAATTGTCCATCTATATTTTGTCGCTGACAGGGATTTCGCTGAAAAGAGAGCGTTGGAACAATCAAAAGTTTTCCGAAAAAATATATTCACTTCAAATTGTGTATCCCTGTAGGCGGTGCTCATCGTTCGTTGCGATGAGCGAACTCGTCCAAGTGGACGTACCATCGCAGACGATAGCGCGGAGAATTGCATTCCACTTAAGGTGGAAATTCCAGGTTTAAAGTTGAGTAGAAAGCATTCGGGTCCTTCAGCTCACATATCGGGGGTCGATATTGTAATGATTACGGTTGAAGTATGTTAGCTAGAAAATTGGGGGAGCAGGACCTTCAAAGGGCAGGTGGGTACCGCCGCGTTAAGACGGACAGTCGCTCGCGTCAGAAGGTTGGCGCTCATGGCATGTTCACTTTGTAGTATGAGTCAAGGTGGGTAAATAGTGTCACAGAAAACGTTTCTGCGAAATACGATGCTCACCTCCTCAAAATAGACAAAAAACCTCCTTGTCTTCGTTTTCCTTTCACAGACTTGGCTCGTTCACCAGAAAAACGAGATGCTTGAACGTTCGAAATGAGGTGGAAAAGAGTGGCTTATATCTTCGAGTGAATTGAGCTCATAAGAAAGCATCGGGGATTAGTTTACCACCTTCGTTAGGTGAACTCACCTAACGACATTACGGTGCTATCGAATTTATCGCATGGCATATTTGCGATGGGAACTGGTGTTTATTGCCATCAAGAAAAAGCACATCCTGGTCCGAAGATACAGGACTGCAGACGGAGCGCATGGTAAAAGGGAGGGAAGGGAAGGTACTCTAAGAGAGGGAGTTTAGTTGGCACAATCTTGCAGACAGCTTTTTTTTACAAACACTTATCAAAGATGTAACGATGGTGCAGGAAATTGATAGGCAATTCGTGAGGCTTGGCCAACAGCAATTGAGCACCTTTCGGATATGATTACATCGAGAGATTTCTGTGTAGGAATGATGTCCTCACGGAACATGTTGGGTTCCGTAACGACAACCTCTTTGACCGCTCCTGTCACCGGAGATTCGTCAGCAGCCCTTATTGCCATAGTTGTTCCGCACTTCAAATCCTTCGCTCAGGTAGAGCCGTAGAAGTTAACGGTGACAAGGACTTATCACTCCTAGCTGCCACGGTCCTTATCTCAGCTGGGCCTTGAGCCGACTATGAACTTTTTGTGAAGTGCGATCCTCTTCCTCTACCCACATCGTTCCGCGTACGACCTCAGACATCTGCCTCTCATGAGGAAATGTTTTCTAGTGATAGTGAACCCCCTTCACCAGTAGAGAAAGAAGTGGATGAATATTTGTTCTGTTATAACTATAGTAAACATAGTTATTGACTTTAGGCAATCACTACGACCGCCAACAGAAGTGATTATCGATATGGGCAAAGATTTGAGTCTTCTGAACACCTACTTAGAAGAAGCATGGACACCAGAAGTACACGAACGAGCTCGAAGTACAGACAAACGATTAGCCGAACTTCGAGAAATCCTACTGGATTTACACGAACACAATCGGCGATCCCATTTGTCGGCTTCTGGAGTAATTCAATCCCCTGTTTGTCATCAAAACAGTAGTGACTACGAGAATAGTCCAAACCAGATCCTGAGGTCAGTCGTCATGGTCTAAAAAATTTTATTGTGGTCTGTTGAAAATGAACTAGCCGTTTTCAGGCCACGAAATGAGAACGTGCCAGCGTACCGTTCCACTCCACCAACTGGTCAGGCTACGGTGATTACTCGTAATCGACCTGCTCATCATCTGTTCACCAACGACGATTATGTACTCAGCACGGCATTTCAAGTATGTGGAGCCAACTGCGTGGTGTACCACGAGTGATATATGCTCAACTGGTTACAAGTCTGTACGTGTTCCATCTTAGTCGGTTTTTTACAGAGCTCTACACGTCAGCTGACAAGACTGAGTGGCGAAACTGGCACTTCCAGCAGTCATGTCAGTGAAAAGACATCGAGCAGTGGCGATGCCAGGGATACGGACAGCGAGACTGAAGTTGTTGGGGTGAGGGATCTGATTCTGAAAACTTTTAGATCCTGCTACGCTAACTTTCGACCAATTCACGCTTTTTCCCTTATTTACGGATAGGGGTGATTGATCTTCAATCGATAACTAACAAGTTACCATTTTCCCGTATTTTGTAGTCGCTCACGGATCGAACTCGTACCCGAAAGACCCGCCGACGTTGTGATGACTCGCCACCTGGTAGCCAACCAGCTTCCAGTGGATACCACAGCAACAATCAAAGCAGGTAAAACTGAATACTATTCCCAGTCCTACTAGTAAACCGTCAAGAACTTGTCATTACAGTAATTCCTCCTCATCATCCCCAATCGATCGAACAACAGCATTGTCCATCTCGAATCCAGCGTTCAATGCGGGTTCATCGATGTACAGCAGTTCGTCCGGGTTTCCCGACGTTCACCCAGGTCCATCTGGAATGGGTGGCTATAGAAGGTTGAGTCCCCCTCCCTATCATCCGGATATGCATAATAACACTTCACACCAACCAGTAAGTAAATTCGGCAATTTTATTGAGGGTTCATAAGTTCAAACGGTGTATTCAGGTGTACGCCATTCCACCTGATTGTGACTCGCAACGTAGTAGCCTTAGTGGGAAAACTAGCCTACCCAGGTGAGCCGTGCTGGATGATGAGTTATTGATAGATATTGATTGAATTGTTGTAAGCAAATATCCTTGGGCTTTCTTCAGAACGAACCCGAGAGCCACACGGAATTCAATCATGTTGAGACCGACTGTGATCGATGTGGTTCCGGACGATTGGGATCGGTAATTTGTTTTGATACGAAGAAAAAGTGCAAATGTGCTCCAGCGCTATTTTGCTGCTACCAGGGGCAAAGGAATAAGGGATCTCACACCCTTCATCATTTACTCAATTTTACTTTTGGCCATAACTGCTTCATTGTGCTCGTTCCGTATTCAGTGGCTAAAAAAGCAAAGCAGATAATTAAGGAGATTTGGGGTGGGTAGGTTGTGGCTCACACCATTACTTATAGCCACGTTGGGTTAAATCAATTTGGAAGGACTTACATATAATCATCAATCCGATTATCAAATCTCGATATATCGATTTTTAGATCTCCTAACGTTCGTGAGAATTGGAACGGTCCATCGTACGAGCAGCAGAAACATTTGGTTAGTTTCTTGAATGCTTTGATATTAAAATGTTTTAGAGAGTCTTGAAATCCATGGATTTCCGGAGGAAGTGTAGGCTCCACGATGCTCTGCGTCTATAACGCCAATGGTTAGGGTGCAGAGAAAGATGGAGCGTTGGCTTAGTGGGGCTGTATTGGTACTTCGGAACGATACTGTGCGAGTGGTTATGAGTTTTTGGCTTTAGCCAAAGGAGAGGATAAGCGTTAGAGTTGGTAAAGTGGTGGCCTTATGCAAAAATTTGGTATAGGAGAGGAATTGGCCAGTGAGGCATTTTCTCACTGAGAGAGAACAGACAAGGGTGCGAAAGCGAATGGCCCTACACCAGTATTCATCGATTCCCTTACAAGAAAATCATAGCTTTGTTTTCAGGAAATCATCGAACATCAAAAACGAGAAATAGAGCGGTTGATTCGAGAAAATGAGATCTTGAAACGGCATGTGGCAGCTACGTGTCCGGCACTTGAACAGAATAAGAGTGAGGTAGTTTCCTATCGTGATTTTTTTCAATTTGTACAGTAAGTACTACATTTGAATGTTTTCTTGTTTTCTTAAATGTGTGATAAAATGCTCAAAACCCTCGGATTAAAATCTGTATTACTTACTGCTGGAGTAAAAGTGTTATCATTGAATTGCACGCCACGCGACGAGACAACCAGCCAGGAATCACTGAGCGATGGGTGTAGGCAGCGTCGCACCTTTTCCAAGTTCCCAGTCATCAAAAGATCTCCCAGAATTTTTTTATAAGTGATTCACTGGTCAGACTAAGAGTGAGGTAGTTTCCTATCGTGCTTTTTTTTTAATTTGTACAGTAAGTACTACATTTGAATGTTTTCTTGTTTTCTTAAATGTGTGATAAAATGCTCAAAACCCTCGGATTAAAATCTGTATTACTTACTGCTGGAGTAAAAGTGTTATCATTGAATTGCACGCCACGCGACGAGACAACCAGCCAGGAATCACTGAGCGATGGGTGTAGGCAGCGTCGCACCTTTTCCAAGTTCCCAGTCATCAAAAGATCTCCCAGAATTTTTTTATAAGTGATTCACTGGTCCAGGATGTGGTGACGTCAGTAGGCGATAAGGTACGTACGTCAGAATGAATCCTGGCACTGGCACTCGACATGAGATTACTTGGTGTGCGAAACATTCCGCCCACAG